TTTAAGCATGATGAATAGCCCAAATGATCAGAAATGTACTTAGCTTAATTTTTAAAGCATAAAAAACTACAAAATTAAATAATTTCCATAATTTATAGGCCACTGGGAACATATCTAATGACACAGAAAGAGCACTTTTAAGTGGTTGGGATCTAGCTCACTGAAACGCCAGGTAGCTTTGGGTAAGTGATCTAACACATGTGCCTCAGTTTCCTTGTTTATAAACTGGACTCTCCGAGGCCGCTTTAGGCAATCTGAGAGTCTAGGGTCCCAACGTGTGGCTGTAAGAGGCTCCTGTGCAGCTGGGAAGATGGATGTACAAAAATTGAATGAAATATCACCTAGTGCTACTTAGGTGACACAGAGAAGAATTTTTTTTTTTCAGTACAGGGTATTAAACTCAGGGTCTGGGTCTTCACACTGAGCTATATCCTCATCATTTTTTTGTTTTGTGACAGGGTCTCAAAACTTAGCTTAGGTTGAACTTGAACTTTGAATCCTCCTGCCTCAGTCTCCCAAAGAGCAGGGATTACTGGTTTGTACCACCATGCCTAGCTTCAGACAGAGACTGAGTATTCAGAGTTCCTCCCTCCTGACTCCCAGGCGATAGAGGGAAGGCTTGTGGAAGAGAAAGGATTAGACACCTAAAGCATTAGACACTATGTTGGACATAATGGTGCAGCAAGATGGGTGTACCTAGTCCTCGCTTTAAGAGTTGGCAGGTGGTCAACAAAATATTTAAAATGTCACCTCGATCTACATCAACATAAATTTCTAGGGAAACTGGTTTTTAAAAACAAATGACAACTGCTACCAACCAATCTCTGTAAGCGTATGAATTTCTCAAGAATGAAGGTATTTTCTGTAATACTATTCATAGTTGGTTTTGTGTGTGCACATAGAGTCACTACTTTGAAAATGATAAAGGTTAGGACAAGGGAGAGAGGAAGGAAGGTGGGAAGGGAGGGAGGGAGGAAGGAAACAAGGAAAGAGTGTTAAAGTCTTTCTTTAGGAGCTTCCCCCAAATGTTAATACATGTGCAGGAAAATGTTCAAAAAACAGAAACTAAGTTTGTAATAGTGACCTTTTATAAGGGTAGGGGTGCCAATCTTTTCTTTTTTCTTCTTCTATGTTTATTCATTTATTGCTTTTTCTCTTTCTTTCTTATTTATTTGAGACAAGGTCTTGTCTCACTATGTTGCCAGGCTGCTCTCAGAATTTCTGAGTTCAAGCAATACTCAGCCTCCTGAGTAGCTGGGACTACAGGTGAGCATCAGCTTTCTTTCGCTTTACTTACCTGAATTTTCCATTTTCTTCACTGAATGTGTAGCAATTTCATAATATTTTTTTTTTTCAGTGCTGGAGATCCAACCTAGGGGCTCAAGCATGCCAGCCAAGAACTCTACCACTGAGCGACACACACCCCCTGTAGTAAATTTTTTTTTTATTTTGAGGCAGGGTCTTATTATGTATGCTGTGTAGTTCAGGCTGGCCTTGAACTCACTGTGTAGCACAGGATTGCCTCAAACTTGCAGTGATCCTCCTGCCTCAGACTCCCAAGTGCTGGGACTATAGGCATGCATTACCATTCCCAGCTAAATTTTTGAAATGTAGATGTATTTAGAAACAGTAATGCATCATGCTAATATTGGCCAATAACTCCTTAAGGTTAATCCATTAGGATATGATTTGCTTCCTACAATTAAGTGGTGGGAAAGGGCTAGTGTTAGGTCTGGGGTCTCCAGGAGTGTCCCGAGTGCTAAAGGCCATGGAAATTGGGAGAAGTCTCCTTGGAGAAGTGGGTGGAGGAGACTGGCTCTCGTCTGCCTGGGCCTGCCAGGTACTACCTATTATTGTACCTCAAGGCCATTTAGTTAAAATTTGGGATCACAAGGTAACTTTTTTCACTCAAAGCTTTGCCCAGTTTTTCTCTTTATAGTGTTTTTTTTGGTACCGGGGATCAAACTTGGGACCTTGCCCTTTTGAGGCAGGCAGTGGAAACGCTGAACTAAATCCCTGGCCTGTGTATTTTTTTTTTCAAGACAGAGCCCAAACTGGCCTTGAACTTGCAGTGATCCTCCTGCCTCAGCCTCCCAAGTGCTGGGATTATAAGCATGTGCCACCACACCCAGCTTTCTCTATATAGATACATGATGTCTCTATTTTCTCTATGACGTCTCTTTAGAGTCAAACTTCTGCCTTCATAACAGACAAAAATGAGGCCATGTAGATTTTAATACATTTTAAATAAAGAAAAACAAAGGATTCTTCTTTAAATGTTTTGCATATTAGTCTCCATCAAGGCTTTCTTTGACAAAGCTTTTTTTTTTTAAAGTTTTCACATTGCAACTTACAGACTTCTCTTAGAGCCCCTGTACTAGTATTTCAGGAGTGGTAGAGGTAACACAATGAAGTGCAAGGAAATGTCATCATTGAGGCTCTTTCTATCTGGGTAATGCTGACATCTGCCTCAGTACAATCTGGAAAGGAAGCATTTGGAAGTGAAATTTACAGCATAAATAATACTGGGGCTGGATAGAGTGTCATGAGCAGGACTCTCACTACCCATAGTACCAGCCATTCATTACCCCTTGACTGGCCCCTATGCAACAAATATGATGGGGGGAAAGGGAAGTAAATGAGGAATAAGGTCCCAAGCAAAATTTAGACTTTAAAATAAACTAAAATTGTTAATCACCTTCAAGGGGTTGGAAATACTGAGGCTTGAAAAGGGAAACACACTGAAAGTAGAGCCTTATTTCATTGACTCTTAAGGGGCCCTCAAGCAGAAGACATACCAAGTTTTTTGAAAGACAAAATCACTGCCAACTAAATTATGACACATAGACTATAAAATGCATCCAAATTTTTAAAATGTTAAAATTTGGGGAGAAAGAGCCATTTTAGAATCAATGACATAATGGCATTATCTCTGTATGCTTGTTCCCACTTCCCTGTGACAGGGATATGGGCTTCTATTTACAGTGACCTATTAGGCTCCTCAACTGTCATCTGGGGACACCAACCCTTCTCCTAACTCACTTAATTGGGGAAACATTTAGATCAGTCCCTATTTGGCAGTACAGTAGATCTGTACTCCAAGTTCCTGTCAGTCTATAATCCCCCTTTTTCTCCCATTCAATATTCAGCAAAAAACCTGGCTGAGAGAAATCACGTTTTCAGGACTGCCTGCAGGGTCTGTGGCCCAATAGGTCTGCTCCACTCTGTTTAACCCTGGGTGGAACTAGGTGAGCAGAGAGCAAAGGGCTGGAAACACTGGGTGGTCCCTCACAGAGACATGGCCAGGCTTCTCCATCACACCCCCGTTGGCCTGTACCAGGACATTCTTAGAAACAGTCCAGGTTGTACTGCATCTGTTATCAAGGGCACAGCAGAGGCTTTTCATGAGGATCCACTGCAGATGTTTCTGGGTCTAAATACCGAAAATCTTCTTAAACTTTTCAAATTGAAATGTAATACATAAATTTGTAAGAGTACATGTTACACAATTTGTAAGAGTACATGTTATGTCTTGAATCTAGATGTCCCCTTATAGGTGGGGCTTTTCAGAGTTGCTGGATCTAGGGTGTTTGATACTGGGATTAAGAATGTGTGGTATTAAGTTCACTGATTGAAATTAGCATAGTTCTGGGGGTGGCTAACCGGAAGGCCTACCCTGGGTGTGGGTAGCACCACCCAAAAGGCTTGTGGCCTGGATGGGATAAAAAGAAAAGGGAAGCTTGCACCTTGGCTGTTGTTGCTACAGCTTCACTGGTTGCCACCTGTCCACCATGAACTGTTTCTCCCCTGTGATGCCCTTCTGCCATGCAGCCCGGCCTTGGAACCAGCCTACTATGGACTGAAACCTCTATAAACTGTAAGGTGAAATAAACCTTTCCTCCCTTAACTTTGGATATTGGGTATTTTGTCTCAGCAATAGAAAAGTAACTAGGATGATACAACAGAATGAATTTTCACAAATTAATTATAACTACCACCCAAATGGGAAATAGAACATTACTGGAATCTCAGAAGCTCCTTCATGACTTCATCCCATCACTACCTCCACCTCTTCTACAAAGGTTAACCTCTATCTTGATTTCTAACACCATCTATTAGTCAAGTTGAATATCTTTTTAATCTGAAAGTCCAAAATCTTAGAAGATTTTTGAGTATTTTGGATTAGGGCGGCTTACCCAGAAGTCTATGGAAATATCCTCAGATCTGAAAACCTCTGATATCTGAAACGATTCAACCTAATAGATGGTCACCAGCCTGTGACACTATTGGTATGCAGACATGCTAGATACTTTTATGGGCAGAAAATACCTCTGTGAGCTTAAAGTCTGGTGAGAAAGGCAGGTATTGAGCAAGTTAATGTGAATAGTCCTCCTCACACCATCATGTCGTCATCTCCTGGAACTCAAGATTTCTGAAACATAATGTGGTCCTGTTTCCCTCCAGGTACCGAGGGTAAGTGACAAAACTGTGCTTCTCTTCCACTGATTACAGAGACTGTTAATTTTGCATATTAACTTTATGTTCATCTTATTATTTTTCACTCTCATTTTCCCTGTATCCCATTTCATGATTTTTTTTTTTTTTTTTTTTGGTACCAGGGATCGAACTCAGGTCCTTGTGCTTGTGCGGCAGGCGGTGAAACCACTGAGCTAAATCCCTGGCCCTCATGATTTATTTTTTTATCATAATTTATAATGTATTTCTGTAAAGTATCTCAAATCTTCCACCTTGAAAAAGGACAGAAGAACCACTCTGTCTGTCTGTCTATGGGTGCCCATGCTTACCATGAGGAGTCAGCCCACTCATAAGTTTCTACTACTATGGTTCTGTTGGGTTCACAAATTTGGAAAAGTACAAATGTAAAACAGAAAAACTCATTTCATTCTGGTTTTACAAAGGCAACCAAAAGAGACTACTGAGAAGATTAAAAGAGGAAGCAACATGTTCTTTAGAATAAAAAATTAACGTAACACTCTTTATAATGTTCTAATTGGTTTTATTAATGTGGAACAATTAATACCAGCCATAAAAAATGTATAATTAAATGTGATATTATTACAAGTTAAAGTTAAAATTAATTCTCTTCACTCTCCCCTTTTTTTATGGTGCTGGGAATGGAACCTAGGGCCTTGCACATGCTAGGCAAGCACCCTACCAATAAACTACACTCCCAGCCCTCTCTTTTCCTTCTTTTGCCATTTAATTAAAAAAAAACCAACAATTTGCCACCTCACAACCAATTTGAAATAGGTTGCTCAGAACAATATAAAAAGAAAGTGTAGACTGAACTGTTTGATTCATCCTGGCTCTTAATGCAAGATAGCAGTGTTTATGATCTTGAAAATTTACCGAGATTTTTTCCCTACACTGGTTCCTTTGTGATGCATCTTCTTGAGTTCTGTCCATGACTGCCACAGCAGCAGTCCTGGAATTAGAACCCACACACCATTAAAAAATACGAGGTAGACCCAAAAGTACAGCCAACTGTTGGTGTTGAGGTTAGGGCTTCCCATAAGCCACTCTGGGCAGAAGGTCATCCAGCCGCCATACAGTTCACAGACGCACAGGGTAATTTGTATGAAATGCCTGTTGAAGAGAAAGAAGCAAGGAATCAAACTTCCAGCTCAGCACAGTTTGGCACACTGAATTAGGATATTTTTTCTTTTTTTTTTGGTACCGGGGATCAAACTCAGGACCTTGCACTTTTGAGGCAGGCCACAGAACCACTGAGCTAAATCCCCAGCCCAGGACATCTTTTCTAAGGGCAGTCTTAATACAATCTTCACTACAAAAACTTCTCTGAAGTTGAACCTCAGGTTTTGTGTAGCACTCCTTTGATGGGCAAGTCAACCTAATTAACAAGGACTCATTCCTTCCTTGGAGAAGCAATATTGCTCTTCCTAGCATAATATCCTCTGAATTAAATAAGTACTCTGGGGTATCCTGGACTATTCTGAGAAAGATTTAGTGGAGTCACATCTAGCCCAGCAAGGAAAGAGCTGAGTATGTATCTCTCCATGAGCCCCAATATCACTACCGTAAAAGAAAACAATAGTAGTTCCTTTCTCAAAGAGTACTGTGGAGTGATGTGTAAAGGGTCAAGCACTGTGCCTGACACAGAGTAGGTATTCCATGATGCAAATACAAATATTTCAGACAATAGGTGTATGTAGCAAATCTGCAGTCATGGCATAGAGCCAAAACTGTTAAGGCACCAAGGATAAGTTTAATTTTTATGGCTATATGAAAACTGGGTGGTCAAAAAACGAATTAAATGATCGTCAAGGGCTCTTTCAAATCTGAGATTTTATGATGGAGCTTTACACACTACTTCTTCAATATGAGACAGTAGAAAATAGAATGCAGTTGTGCTACCAGATGTTGTTTTAGGGAATCATCCCCAGGATTGCCACCCCAAGTCACTCTGTCTCTCAGAAGGAAAGAAAAGGGAAAGAAAGAGGCAAGTTCAGAATCTCTGAGTTTGACTTGGAGCATGGTTAATTTTTCAGCTTCTTCCTTCTTCTTTCCACACTTGCCCTCCCATGTCCTCCACAACCTGCTTCTGAAAAGATCTCTTATTTATTTTGCATGTGTAACTCAGAAACATACAACAGAATTTATGTCAAGTGGAATAGGTTGTCTTTTCTTTTTCTTTTCTTTGATTTTTGGTCATGCTATGTAGTCCAAGCTGGCCTTGAACTCACTATATAGTCCAGGGTGGCCTCGACTTGCAGCATTCTTTAGGCTTCAAAATCCCAAGTGCTGGGATTACAGGTGTTTGCCACCACACCTGGCACTGGATAGGTGTTTTTTTAAAGTGATTTTGGAGAAAGAAGATTGAAATGTTATGTCTTTTTCTCCAAAATATTGGTAATTGTTATGGTTTAGATCTAAATTTTCCCCCCTAAATCTCATGTGTTCAGAGGTGGGGTGTTTGAATTGGATCATGGGAACATTAACCGACTGATGAGTTTGTAGCTGAATGTGCTGTTAGGAGGTGGGGCTGGTTGAGATGGCATGGTTTGGAAGGGTGTATTCTTATCCCCAGCTCCTCCCTTCTCACTCTCTGCTCTTTGGCTGCCATGGGTTGAGCAGCTTTCCTCCACCATCCCTTTCCACCCTGCCATTTCTGCCTTGGAGCCAGCCAAACATGCGTGGACTGAATCCCCTGAAACCATGAGCCAAACAAACTTCTCCTTTAAATTTTAGGTACCAGGTATTTTGTTCCTGAGATAGGAAAGTGACTAATACAGTGGTTAATCACCCGATACTGCCTGTAGAGGCAAGAATGGTGTTACAGCATCTTATTTCTCATATTTCTTTATTTCAAATGGTACAAAATTATCTTGGTGACACTATGACCCTTATCCAGTATCAAACAATTGTCATTTCTATTCTACTTTATCTCACAAATAAGTGAGGTTACAACCTACTCTAAATGTCACTTAGCCATTGGGACAGCTAATGTTTCTCCTCTTTTCAGCCAGACAGAAGAAAGGCACTTACCGATAATATTTCTCTTTGACTATGGCATAAATCAGGATCAATGCCAAAAACCCATCCAAGACAACAGTCAAAATTTCCAAAGACACAATGGTTGGATCAAGATAAAGCCATCTTGCATCAGCTTTTCCATATTCTTTCCCTAAGGACAAAATATCTGTTACTCAAAATACCTGTTACTTAACCAGCAAGCATTTTTTTGAAAGTTAATGGAAATGATCTTTTCACCTAAAGAATATAAAAAGAATTCTTAGTGCTCTATTTTTCTAAAGTATTTTTCATAGTGCCTTTGTAGAAGGCAAGAAAAGCCCTAGGACTTTCCTCCAACATAAGCAAAAGTAACAATAGTATGCTATATTTATGTAATAATATAAAGTTTCTAAAGTGCTTGCACATATGTACTCTCTCTACCTTTGGCATCTTCCCTTGGGAGCAGAAGAAATCTAAATTTAATATAGTGAGATTTTGTACATACAATCTTTAATAACAATCTTGGTAAATATATTATAATTGCTTAGTGTAAAATTTTAATTTAAAGTCTGTAAGTATAATTTAGATGTGGGGAGCTGTTATTAAGGAAATGTTTACTTAAAAATACATTTGCTACCATAAATGGAGAGAAATTGAGTGTTAATGTAGAGTGAATCTAAAGTGGACAGAGAGGGCATTATAGTCTACTCTGGGGATACAGGGGTTGCTAGCAATGGCCTCAGCTGTGCTGAGTGGGGAGCACAACATATGCCCTAAGAATTTTTCCAGACCCATGACTGGAATGTCTTCTTACAGCTGGATGGGTGGCTAGGCACCACAGAGGCTATTCTTCTCCCTGCTCTTTTAGTTTTTTAATTGATAAAAGCAATCCTGCTGCCTGGTGTGGTGGTGCATGCCTGTAATCCCAGCACTGGGGAGGTTGAGGCAGGAGGATCACTGTGAGTTCAAGACCAGCCTGGGCTACAGAGTGAGTTCATAGCCAGCCTGAACTACAGAGCAAGACCCTGGCTCAAAAAAAAAGCACCATTAAAAAAAAAAAGTAATCCATGCTGGTCCTAAGATCTCCCAAGCCTCTCTGCCTTCAAAGACTGCTCTCACATTACCATGAAAAGGCACAAATGCTCAAAAATGAGCCCCCCTATCTCACTGATCTGAGTAGTGCAAAACTCTAGTCTCATAATGGCCAGAGGAGTGATCCCTCAGGACCAGGAATAAAGGTTTCTCATGAAAGGCTGTCCTGAGAGAAAGGACAATAAACAAGCTCATTATTTAGTGAGATAACATACAAGTCACAGGCTGCAGGGAGGTCTTGCATGAGGATACCAGAGCCATCAGCCTGTCCTTAGCTGACTGTCTACCATGCTCTGAAGTAACCATGCTAATGGGAAAACAATAGAATACTGAAACATTTCCTTCATAAATGTAAACTTTCATATAATTGGTAAAATGTGCCAGGTAGAGCACCTAAATCATTACTTATATAAAATGTCAATGTTTCCGGACACAGAATAATTGGAGTGTGACATTAAGAAAAAAAATCTCCATTTTAAAAAAATATTGGGGTTGGAACCCAGGGCACTCTACCACTAAGTTACATCCCAGCCCCTTTTATTCCTTTTTATTTTTTTCTTTTGAGACAGAACCTTGCTACTTTGCCCAAGGCTGGCCTGGAACTGGTGATCCTCCTTGCCTCAGCCTCCAGAGTAGCTAGGATTACATGTGTGTGTGTCACCATGTCTGCCTCATCCATTTATTCTTTAATTCAACAAATCTTTTCTGAGCATTCAACAAATCTTTTCGGAGGCCCTGTGCCAGGCCTTGAGAATACAGCAGCCTGAGTTGCTAACTCTAGGGAGGCTGAAACCTGTGGTAAGTGATGGATGAAGAACATGGGGACCTAGAGAAAGTGGCTTTGAAGCCCAAAGAAGGAGATGAAGGAAGAGTCCCTGGAGGGTTTTTTTGTCCACTTCCTCTTCATCTTGCGGGTGAAGGGTCATGGGGATGGCTGAACACACAACAGCTGACACTGGATAAGTAAAAGGGATGGCAGTTTATTGTTAGTCATACAGTCAGACTGGGGAGGGGGGCACTGTGCTGCACAAGGCTACATAGGGGCTGTACCAGGGGCCAAGGAGGCAGGCCTGGTAGTAACAGGAGGATGGGCAGAACCCTGGTTCCTGTGAGAGGATGTGATTAGCTTGTTTGAATAGTCACTCAGGCTGGCAGGGACCTGAAGGCCATACAGTAAGGACAAGCAGGCACTACTCCTGGTCCTAGTGATCAAGAGGGCTGATGTCAAAGGAACTTTATCCATGGAAGCAGAATGGGGAGGACATTTGCAGTGGGCTACTTTAGATTCTCTAGATCAGTGATGGCAACCCTTTTAGAGCCTTCAGTGATACAAATAGCCTGCTGTGGCACACATGCCATTGGTTCACCACCACTGCTCTAGATTTTACCAGTTATCAAGGCATACAGAATGTTGAAGGCTGATTTCAGGTCTTACATTAAGTGGGGGGGTGCGTGGGTGCTCTGAAACTGGTTAGGGAGAAGTCTGAGTGTTCCAGGGAGGTGCTGTGCAAAGGACTGGCGCTGAGAGAACAGTGTGTTTGAAACTACAGTTAAGTTGGCAAGGCTGAAGAACACAGTGTGTGGGGATGCAGGGAGGCAGAGAAGAGAGTGAAGGCCCTGCTCTCCACCAGTGCAGCCTGTCAAGCCTCTGGCATCTCCTTCTATGCTGCTGAACTTTGATCCCCCCTCCCCCACCTTGTTAAACAATTTGTGTACAACTAAAGGGCAAACAAGAGCCTTAGAAAGTGTGATGATAGGCCAGGGATTTAGCTTAGTGGTTCCGTTGCCTGTCTCGCAAGCGTGAGGACCCGAGTTCGATCCCTGGTACCAAAAAAAAAGAAAGTGTGATGATGTAATTGCTTCCATTTATCTTGGGATTGGTAACTGGGCATAAGCAGAGGTTTAGAGGGAAAACACTAAAACTGATGGTTGGAGGAAGTTCCCACTAGCCGACGCACTGCTGTGTGCTCTACCAGAGTGGCCATGAGGACATGGTGAGGGTTGTCCTGCCTACAGCCCAGCCACAACCTGAGAAGCCAAGGACAGTACACAGGGCCATGTCTAGGCAGTCCTGGCCCAGACCATCTGGATCAGAATCTATTTCAGCAAGATTCTCAGGAGAGTTTTGTCTATTTGGGGGCCTGGGAACACTACTCACTTTATCTGTTGGGTTTTTGTTTTTATGTAAATAAAAGGCACTTTCATTAAATGAGTTTTTACTTCTCTAATTTGAAGATAATCAAGAAAGAACATGTTAGACAGTCACATTTCATAGACTTGAGCTGAATCTGGCCTCTTCATTTTCTTTGATGCTGTTCAGGGCAGCCAGAGTAGGAGGTAGTAGCATGGCCTGTGACACAGGGGACCAGAGGGACACTGCTCACCAGGGAGGGATGGTGACTCAAGCTGGGTCCTTTAGACCCTGGGCTTCCACAGCCATCCATCAACAGAGTTTAATGTAAACACTGAACAGCATGGTGTACAGGTGCAGTAAGCTTAGCCTGGGAACTGAATTAGCAGGACTTCTACCAAGATGAGGTGGGGAGTCCCCAAGTGTTTTCAGAAGCACTAACTGTAGCTGACTCAATTCTCTAGAAGTTTCTAAGTTCCATATGGCTCTGGCTGGAGGAGATTATTTTGGGAATGTGAAACAAATGTGATTGGCTTGGGGGTCTAGCTCAGGGGTACGCATGTGCTTAGAATGTGTTAGGCATTTAAGTAGACATTAGCAGGGTTGAGGGACAAAGTGCTGGGGAATGGGTAAATAGGGCATGCTTTGCCAGTTAGATTAAGTAAAGGAACAAAGACTTCAATGTATAATAATACACTTATAATCATTTGTTAGGTCTCAGACCTAAACTGCTCCCACAGAGCACAGTGACAATTTGAAGTTACATACTGTGCACATTCCTTCAGGTATCTGGCAACCTGGCTAACTATTTCCAGAACAAGGCACACAGTATTCCTGGGTGCCATGGCCTACATCCAGTGATATCAGAAAGGGAAGCACTCTGTAAAGGCCCTCCCTCCTTGGGGTGAGACCTGATTTAGATTAAGGCATATAATCATATGAAGAACACCGACTACCCAAAAGAAACAAGGAAGACATTTCAGAGATATCAACATTCCAAAGTAACCCCTAGGAGAAACAGCGATAAGCATAATCACCATAGGTCCCGGAACCCAGGAGTAACTTTTGTGTGCATAAAAAGATATCAGTGCAGACATCTTTGTGGCACTGCCTGTCTTCCTGCTTGAAGGCATAACTCTCTCTTTATCTACTTAACAACACATTCTACCTGAGAACCAAGAAGTGAGAAGCTGGTTATTGTTGTGTCAAGCTTCTGGATGACAAATGCAAGAGGCCCGGGGTCCAACCCCCAACACCACAGGGGTGAGGGGTGGGAGGAATATGTGATAAACAATGTAGAATTACAGCACAGAATGAAACAGATTCAAACAGATATCCAGGACATTAAAAACTCTATTGAAAGCATACACAGCAGACTGAACCAATCTGAAGACAGAATATCAGATATAGAAGACAGGATGGTGGTCAGTGACCATGAAAAGAGAGATCTGTTAAAACTAGTAAGGGACCATGAGAAATCAATCCAACAGCTCCTAGATGACACAAAGAAGTATAATATAAGACTGATAGAAGTCCATGAAAAAGCAGGAGAAAGTACAAATGACATAAAAAAACTGTTCACAGAATTAATGACCGAAAACTTCCCAAACAGAGCAAAAGAATTTGACTTACAGATAAGGGAGGCATATAGGACTCCAACTACCCTTGATAAGAAAAAAAATCTACAGCTAGACATGTAATAATCAAGATCCCGGAAACTCAACAGAAGAAAAAATACTACAAGCAATTAGAGAAAAGAAACAAATCACATCCAAAGGAAAGCCCATCAGAATCACAGCAGACTTCTCAACCCAAACCCTCAAATCAAGGAGAGCCTGGGGTGAGGTATTGCAAGCCCTAAAAGAAAACAACCTCCAACCTAGACTGATGTATCCTGCAAAATTATCTTTCAAAATTGATGGGGAAATAAGATACTTCCATGACAAAGA